AAGCATTCTAATTTCAAACAATTCTGGGCTAAAATGATATTTGTAGAGAATTAAGATGCATGGGGAAAAATGTGTGAGCTATTTAAGATGTAGTCTGCCATGTTTCTGACGGTTGTCAATAAAACTGGTGGTGTCTCCGACACTCGGGGCTAGAATTACTTGACGTAATTCTTTCACATCTGATATTTGAACGCGTTCTGTGCATGTGACCACTGGTTAACTCGGTGCCAATGCTCTCCTATTAGATCGTCACTCACACATGAATTAGTTCTGCATCTTTCTAACCGATTTGCATAACCACATCACCATCATGTAGATATTTTAGAATACTTAATTGCATAAGGACTTCTTTTCCTTGATCTCTTCTTTCTTGCTCGACTAAGAATACTAAGGATGTCCCCAGTGCTCACTTGAAGGTTGATTTAGTCACACTAGCAAAACTCCAGGCTCGAATGTCAAAAGGGATCAGTTTAACACGGTGTGCTAATCATGCTGCAATCTGTGTGCTGCAGGAGTCATAGCTGCTGACTCCTCGTCACAGCAAAGGCAAATGTTTAGTCATTATACCTGCTTTCTGTTGACTCCCCAGATGGGATTTTTTTTCTCACCTTTGTGTATTTGAGAACAAGTGAATGCAGAAATGCCAGCAATCCAAGGCTTCATTAGTACAGGAGAGGCAACACTCACTTTGCTACACAAATAATTAGAGAGATTAATTAGAAATAAACACTGAGAGGATGTGCAGAGGCTCTGAAGTTGGGTAATTATTTTAATTACTCTAGTGACTTCCACCAACCTTCATTATCAACCGCAGATCAAATTTCAATTGTTTTATGTAAGAATATCATGAGCATGAGCCGTGTGGAAAGGCACAGTCACTACCCAATAACAACACTTCATGGGCACAGCATTTTCCTTCAGCCCCTGTCAATAGCGGGTTCCACTTTTAAATATGCTACGTATATTTAAAAGCTACGCATTTTAAATATGATACATTTTTACACTAGAAAGTGTTCAAGTCTAGGGTTTCTGTTCTTCCGAAGGACTTCTTAATAACTTTATGTCTTTATCTAGATTTGATCATGAATGATTTAGGGCCACATTTTGAGTCACTGATGTAAAACAATATGGCACATTCAGTCATTTGAAATAGATGTCACTTGGAATCATGCTGTCTTTATTGCATATGCTTTCTTTGGGGTAAACCGATTTCTGCTTTCCACATCTCCGTATACCAGCTCAGGAAGGGACCACAGCACACCACCTGGAATCTCTTCCCTACATGTGGGGCCAGTGATAGTCAGTATTGGTCAGAAAATACTTTTATTCTATACTTGTGACAATTTTGATTCCCAGAGAGTTCCCAGGTAATGCCAATTCTTCTAGAAAATTATCTTGTGCCCAGTTTTATCTTCTCCCTGGGGTATTGTCTAACCTCTCTTAGTCCTTTCAAAACACCATAAAGTATATTATATATTACCCCACAATCCAGATAAGAAAACTGAGCCTGAGTAGAGAGGTCATGGAGTTTGGAGGGGATTCCATGAGGGAGAGGAATGAATAATAACAGAGTATATAATAATATGCATTACAAAGACCTGAGAAAACATATTACTTGGTATACATATTACTGACTTTTCTGTTGCTATGATAAAAGATCACGGCCAAAGAGACTTACAGAAGAGTTTATTGGGGCTTATATTTCCAGAGGTAATGGTTGGGGAGCAGTGGAAGGAGAGCATTCCAGGAACAGGAAGCTGAGTACTCACATCTCTGCAAGGAGCCAAGCAGAGAAAGCAACTTAGACCTTTCCTCTTAAACCCAACCCCAAAACCTATCTGCTCCAGCAAGGCCACACCTCCTAAGCCTTCCCAAACAGCCCCACCAACTGGAGAAAAACATGGACCTAGGAGAGGCTTTCTCATTCAAAACACTACAATATGCTAGCCCACGAAACTCTTTTTAAAAGTTTAAAAAGTTAAACAGACTTTCAGAGGCTCACTGATGCTCTCAATGAGTAGAAAGTGGCCTGACTAGCAACCAAAGCCAGGAACCAAGACAATCCCCCAGGGAGGAGATAAAACTGAACACAAGATGAGGAGTGTGCTGAATAGTTTTTTGTCAACTTGACAAGCTTAAGTTACCTGAGATGAGGGACCTCAGTTAAGAAAATGCCTTCAGAAGATCAGACTGCAGGCAAACCTGTGGGACATTTTCTTATTTAGTGATTGGTGGTGGGGAGGGCACAGCCCATTGTGGGTGGTGACATCCCTGGGTTCTGTAAGAAAGCAGGAAGAGCAAGCCACGATGAGCAAGCCAGTGAGCAGCACTCCTCCGTGGCCTCTGCCTCCAGGTTCCCGCCCCATTTGAGTTTCTGTCACGGCTTCCTCCAGTGACAAACAGCAATGTAGAAGTAAAGGCAAATAAACCGTTTCCTCCCCAGCTTGTTCTTTGATCATGGTGTTTTACCACAGCGGTAGTTCTAAGACAAAAACAGTGGGAATGGATAGAATATGCCTTAGGTATTGTTTGATATCACTGAATTCTATATGCTAGGTAAAATCCCAAGTTAGATCCCATGTTTGGTTGTTAAAGTGTCCTGTCTCTGACTAGGCCTGTTCCAGGGAACAACACAATTCAGATCAGGTTTCATGGTGTAGCAGGACTGACAAAGACATCCCTACTAACAAAGGCTGGCTGTGCTTTCACAGTGACTTGCTAACCACTGAGTTTTAGTCTTGCTACCAGAGGCATCTTTCTTCAAACAAGTTTAAAATATACAACAGAATAAAGGAGGCTTTGGTAATAGCTTTGGTAAAAGGGTGGGGAGGAGATTGGACATATTTGTGTGTTACCTTCTTGAATTTAAGAAAAAGCTTGTGCTGGCTTCCTTCCCTTCCCTCTCCCTCAGGAGCCCAGCGTGCACAGCATGCCCTGAGGTAGAGTATATATGGGTGAGGAGTCTAGTGGAGTTGTTTTTTTTTTTTTTTTTTGTCTTTTGTGCTCTGCGCAACTTTGGGTTCTGGGTGACATGGGGAAGGTACAGCTGAAGGCTAGGATTTCCTTGGATTGTGGGGGAAGGGAAAATGTTTAGCTTTCAGCATCTAAGTGTAAGGCCCCTTAGAACTTAACACAACTGACTCCATGGCTGAAGTACCACTCAGGCTGTAAAACTCAGCGTGTAGACAGCACCACCTGCCAAAACTGAAACAAAGGCCTAATCCATCAAAGTCCATCTAGTCCTGGGAAAGCCTCAACGGGCTTGCTTGCTCTTTAGCTTCTGTAGCCCCACTTCTGGCTAACTGCCCTTTGCTAACTGAAGTATATCCACCCAGAACATAGATGTTGTGCTTAAAAGCTCCCCCTGAGAAAGGCTGGGTGCTAGTCGACGGCCTGCTAATAAAGACCTTCTGTTGGCTTAAACCTTCGTCTGGAGCTATCTTCTCTGGTGAATAAACCACAGCAGAAGATGGTTGTTCTGAAAATCCACAGCCACACAATGTCAGACACTGAGCCCAAAGTGAAGGGCAGGGCTCTGTGACGGGGGAGCATCTACCCTAGCGCTCTGCTTGCTCCTCAGGAACGTAGTCAGGAGAATTTTCGTAAGTAAGACTGAGAAGGTCAGATTGCGGAGGAAATCGCCTCAGAAATGATTTATTGGTGGTGGTGGTGGCGGTGGTAGGAGGCGCCTCCCTGAGACTCCCTGGGGTGTCCCTGGCAGCATGGCCCCTTCATCAGAACAGCCTGGGGTTCAGCTAATAGATCCTCTACGTATGAGAGTGTCTTTCAGGTACTGCCATGGCTCTGTTCACCATCCTCTGACTGGCTTGGTTTGATGGCCATCACCTTAGGTTTAGGAAGACCAGACACTAGCAGCCAGGCCTCGCTGAGAGGGTGTGCATCGAAGAGGCGGCGGGCTCTATCCAGGACGCCCACGTCTCATTTCTGCTCAGTCACCACTGACCTCGGGAGATGCCTCTAACCTCCATCTCCACCCCTCCACCCCGAAAATGAAGGTTGACTCCACGCCCAAGGCTTCCTTGAAAAGGATCACAGGGAGGGCCGCGGAGCATAATTCCTGTGACTGCCAGCTGGGAAGGCTCCAACCTGAACAGAAATAAGTTAAACACACTCAGCCGGAGTTTTCAGAAATTTCTTCCCAGGGAGAACCAGCTGCGGCCAGGCAGCGCCAGCTCAAACTGATTCATTGGAACGGGCCGGGCACCTATGCGTGGCACCCCTCCACCCCCGGGGGCTTCTATCGATTTCTGCCTTTCAAGAGAAAGTGGTTTTCGTCGCCGGGGTTCTGTCCACCAACCCCACAAGCTGCGAGCCTCGCCCCATCCGCCTCTCTCCTCCCTCTCCCCTATTTTAGATCTCCGGAGTTGTCCGCGCTCGAATGGGGCTCCTTGGCTGATCTCCAAAGACCCCTGCAGCATTTCAGAGAGCCGAGCCCCCGCGGCGACCTGAGAACAGCATCCCCAAGCCGCAGGGACCACTCTCCCTCCCTCCGCCTCGGGCGCCTGGTGCCGGCTCGCGGGGAGCACGGGGCTCAGCCCCGGCGGCGAGAGCCGCGGCCCTTCCCGCCTCCGCCCCGCAGCCCCTCTCCGCCAGTAGCAGCGCCGCCGTCTTCCCACAGGAGCCCTGGGAGGACGCCGGAGTCTGCAGCGCCCCCGCCCCCTCGCTTTTCCTCTCTCTCTCTCTCTCTCTCTCTCTCTCTCTCTCGCTTCGGGAGCTCGCTGCCTGGAGCCGGCGGAGGTTCCGAGAAGGAGAGAAACGAGTCGAGCGCAGGTTTCCGCCGCGGAGCGTCAACCGTGCTGGCGGGGGCGCGCAGCATCCTCGGTGTCCACCCGGGGACCGCAGCTGCGCTCGGCGGGACATGTGACGGACGGAGGAGAGCCCCCCCCTGCCCCCCAGCATCGTCAGCCGCCGCCTCCCAAAGGGTCCCAGAGCGCTCGCTCGCGGAGACCGGCGGCCCGTTCGGACCGCGAGGCGAGCCGGCTGGCGGCTCCCAGGCTGGCACTCCGCAAAGAGCGCAGCGGGGACCACCGCCTGGCTCGCGCTCGCTCGCTCGCTCGCTCGGCACAACTCCGGGACCGGCAGCGCGCGGCTGGAGCGCGTCCAGACTCCCGCCGACTTCGGCCAGAGTGAGCCCCAGCCCCAGCCCGGACGCCCGCACCCCACGGAGTTCTAGCTCGCCCTGACCTCTGCGCCAAAGACCCCCGCACGCCCGGGTCCCCGCAACGCCCCGAGCCGGATGGGGAGCGCGCCTGCCGCTGCAAGCTGACAGCCGCCGCCGTCCGAGCTGTGCACACCGAGGCCCCCCAACCCGGAGGCTGGTCCTTGCCGGGGGTGGCGTCCGAGAGGCTGGGGGAGCGCGCACCATGAAGTCGGCGCTGTGCAGCCGCTTCTTCATCCTCCTGCCCTGGATCCTGATCGTCATCATCATGCTGGACGTGGATCCCCGGAAGCCCGCGCCTCAACTCATTTCGCGCCCCTACTTCTCCCCACACACCCTGGGCTGCGGGGGCTCCCGAGCCCCTCTCCGACGGAGCCACCCGGGCCGCGACGCTCCCGGGAAGCGCAACGAGTCCCGGCCCCGGCTACCCCCGGAGCCCCGGCTGCCCACCATCTATGCCATCACGCCCACCTACAGCCGCCCGGTGCAGAAAGCCGAGCTGACCCGCCTGGCCAACACCTTCCGCCAGGTGGCGCAGCTGCACTGGATCCTGGTGGAGGACCGGGCCACGCGCAGCGAGCTGGTGAGCAGCTTCCTGGCTCGGGCCGGGCTGCCCAACACGCACCTGCACGTGCCCACGCCGCGGCGCTACAAGCGACCGTGGCTGCCGCGCGCCACCGAGCAGCGCAACGCGGGCCTCGCCTGGCTGCGCCAGAGGCACCAGCACCAGAGCGCGCAGCCCGGCGTGCTCTTCTTCGCCGACGACGACAACACGTACAGTCTGGAGCTCTTCCAGGAGGTAGTGGCCCCCGACCCCGAGGGTGGGGGACCGGGGGGGGGGGGGGGGGCGGGGGGGGGCGCCGAGGGCCGCACCCACTTTGCGCTTTCGGGTGCGCTTTGGAGTTCTCGGGCGTCCGCGCACGCGTCCCGAACTCGGCGTGGGGCAGCTGCGGACAGGCGGTCCCCCGGCGTCCCCCTCTGGCTGTAGTTGGTGGAGGAGTGTTGGCGGGGGAGGGCGCACTTGTGAGGTCCGGAGTGGGAATAGTCGGCCCCGGGCTTTCTTTCCATGTCCGAGACTGGGCTCAGTAAATAGCACGGGTGATTGATTTGCTCAACTGGGTGAAGGCCAAGCCTAGTGTAGGGACCAGTCTCTTCTGGTGAGAAATTGGTTCCCCGTGCAAACATTGACATGTATGAGGACGGGTCCCCCTTTCATCTTTTCCTATCGCGTTGGCAAATGAGTTCGAATTACGCCCCAGGCATCACCCATATGGCCTGCCTGACCTCCCCGGAATGCTGCCCGGCTGACCCCTTGCTCAGTGTTCCCTGGAAGGCCACCAGCATGCAGCAACAGGCTTAGTGCAGGTGGCCTTGAGGCTGCTCTGTGAAAGTGTTTTATCTTTTTTTTTCTTCACTGCACTTAGTTACAGCTGAATGTGATCTTGATTTCTTTGCCCCGTGGGATTGTAGTTCTCCACCTAAAATTCCTCGGCATCCGGCTTCCTAAAGACTCCCCCCCCCCTCCCCAGCAACTCCGTCCCCGTCCCCAGGAAACTGGACGTTCGGGGAATACTGTGTGAGCAGGGTACTGAATTCATAGAACAACTGTTTGTAGCAATCAGATCCCCTGAGTGTCCCCACCTCCACGCTTTCACCTAATGTCAGGTTGCTTTCTTAGCCTCGCGACAGTGACTGTACCCTTCCTGCTCAATTTTTCTTTATGTGCTTTTCAAAAAATCGCTTTAAAAGTTAATTGCCACCTTGGTTTCTACCCTCTCCATGGATAAAAGAAGCAGTAATTGTTCTCCATTCTCTCATTCCATGGGACTTGCTTTTCATGTCTCCCCAGAGAAATAAGCTTGGTTTAGTGTTTAACATGGCTTTTATTATACCCGTGATTAGAGTTACCAAGTGAGTGTTTTAAAGTTGGGCTTTTATTTTAAGGCTGAGTTGTTTCCTTGCTCTTTTCTCTAAAAGGAGGGCTTGTGTTTTGTAGCAAAGACCTTTTACTCTAAGTCCTTGTTTATTTTTAAGCCAGGTTTTTTTTTTTTTCTCAGTTCCAAAGTTACTTTACCTATGACCTGTGGTCTTGTTTAAAAAAAAAAAATAGAGCACATTGCCGTTAATTAACATTTGAGGGGCTAAGCTGGGGAGGGGGAAGAGTTGCTTTCATCCCAGTGGTCAGCTCCTTGGCATGAGGTGTTGGAGGAGTGGAAAAGTTGGCACATCCAGGCAGGGAAACAATTCAGATACAGTCTCCCTTTGAGACTTCCGCTGCTGAAAGGAGGGCTTGTGTGGAGGGTGCTAAAGAGCAGAAGGAAAATCGGTGGCTTTCCCCCCCATTGGCCTGTGGTGGGAGGCTGGGGTGTAATAAGAGGAAGAGGAAAGAATAGGGGAAAAATTGTATTGGCAAAGAGAAAATCATTAAAAAAAAAAAAAAAAAAAGCAAGCGAAACTTCTATGGGAGTAACATTCCATACACTTGGAAATAGTGTACTACACAGAATAAATATTTTCAGACCATGTGTAGCTTTTTACAGAGAGACACAAAATTCGAGGCAGGTGTATTGTCGATTTTCAGTGTTAGAAGCAGGTCACAGTGTTATCTTCCAAACCTCTCTCAGAGAGCAGTTTATGGCAGTTATCTTTCTCCAGCATTCTAGTTCCTCCTTCCGTGTGTGTGTGTGTGTGTGTGTGTGTGTCTGTGTGTGTGTGTGTATGAATATATGTATAGATATTTACAGATTGGGCTTTTCTTTGTTATTAATGTGTGTTACATATTTTATTTCCCTTATTACGATCTTGACATACACTCAATGAACTTGATTAGTGGGTTCTATGCATCCTCTCGTATATTTTCTAGAAGCTGAGGTTTAGCTTCCTTTAAGCTCTTGGTTTTGTTAGTGGGATGACTCACTCTTCACCCCTTCTGGAATTAATGATTCTAGGTGGACTAGGGTAGACACTGTTCCCTTGGTGAAAAGAGAGAAACCCATAAACTATGTAACACTGGGGGAAGAGGAGGGCAGGCTACGGAGCTGAGGCCTGTATCTCAGCCCTTTCTCATTCTTAAGTAATTCATGGTATATAAGAAAAGGATATCTCAAGTCAGTCTTCATCTTTTGTTCATGGAGCTTCTAATCTCCACAACTGATGCAAAAAAAAAAAAAAAAAAAAAAAGACAAGATAAAAGGAGGAAAATGAACCAGGTACAAATTAGCTCACTAAGGATTGGCTGCAAATGAAGGCAAGAAAAAGGATGAAAGGCCTCCAAATTAAATTAAAGATGCAACAGACAACCGCATTCAATTATTCCTTCCCAGGAACTGGAGTAGCTTTTTTTTTTTTTTTCCTCCTGTATGGCTAACTAATTTTCATCTTCTCTCTTCAACTGAGCCATGATGCCAGGGTAGGAATATTTGCACTGAACGATCCTCAGTGAACAGCCAAATCCATCTGCAAATGAAGCTGCTTGTGAGTCACAGCCTGGACCGCTCTGTACCCAAGGAGGAAGTAGGAGGGTCTTTGCAGGCTTCCAACACCTCAGCTACTCCAGTTCTCCCAGTGGGCATCCTTGGGCTTTGCAGGGTGGATCACTGGTAATCCTGCCTGCCTGTCTGCATTGATCGAGCTTTCTGGGAAAGCTTATTTGCAAAGGATTTAGGCTGCTTTAATAAAAGCCACAAGGACAAGTAAATGGGACCTTATATCTGGTCCTGTTTTCAATAGCACTATTGACCAGATGTCTGCTCTTCAAGGCTTTCCCAAGCTTAATGTGATGATTTTCAGCTGAAGGTAGTTTCACCTTTGGAAATCAATTGAATTGAAAGGTTTTCGTGGGGTTTATTTGGGGGGAGGTGTTGTTTTGTTTGGTTTTTTTAAATAGCACTTTCCAAGAAAAGAAAACAAAAACTTTAACCTTAACGAGATAAGACAAGAAGACGAAACCAGCTAAGAGATTCACTTAATGAGACGGCATGGAAGGCATATGTAAAGAGCAGGGGACTGAAAGGTGAAGAGACGACCCCTTGTTGGAATTTCTTTCCGGGTGCTGTTCTGTTTGTGGGCTGGGCACACAGAGCCATGGCATTTAATTCTGTGGTCTTCTGCCTTTCTAGAGCACCCCATGTTCCACCTTCTGCTGGAGTCATAGCCCAAAGAGACATGTAGGTTTACAAGGCGTGGCAGCCCCTCCCATCGGGCACCCAGAGCATCCTGATTGTCTCTCCTTCTTTTACCCTGACCTAGCTGCCTAATTTAGGGGAACTCTGTAAAAAAGCCAAGAAGCTTCTCATAGCTTAGCCTAGAGTGACTACCCAGAGCAGACTCTTATAAATCGTGTCTTCCCTTCTGAGAATATGGTAATAGGCCATAGGACTGATAAAACATGATTTTAGTTGTTTTTTTTTCTTAGTGACTGTAAAACTGCAGCCCGTTTTCTGAGTGTTAGATCTATAGCTTTTCTTTATGCTTTCTGGGTGTTTATTACTTGAATTATGGTTCTGCTTTGATAGTTTTCCTCAGGGACCAGTGGCTTCTATTTGGATGTTTTAATGGGCCAGAAATAACAATTTGGGTTTAAAAGACATTCTGACCTGCCTCTTCCCATTGTGTTTTCCTCTCTTTCTTCTCTCAGCCTACTTTTCACTGATGAGCCTCTCATGAATAGGCATGAAGACATGCCCAGAGTATCATTTGGTGTGACGGATGTGTGTCTTCGAAATATTTAGGTTGTTGTTTGCTGTGTCCTGGAAGCTAGAGTAGGTGGCTGCATTTTCTTCTGCCTGCTCCACTTGCCTCTAAATTACAAGCTGGTAAGATTTTCTCTTGTGCGAGCAGTAATAAAATAGTAATTGCTTTTAAAACATGCTGAAAAAGCAAATAGAGTGAAAGTCGGCGGTCTCGTTTAACCGCTGCAGGTGGTGTTCGAGGTGTGTGAGGGCATGTGTCAGAGGACTCAGTGCTGCTGAGCTACAGCAATTGAAACCTTTCGGCCTCTAGGATGTTTTGTGGACTGGTAAGGGAGCACATTAGTGTATGTTCGATTCACAGGGCTATTGAAGCATGAAATTTAGGTTTTGTATGGTTCTCAGAGCCTCTCCTAAAACACAGGTAAAAATGTTACAATTGTCCTTAGAATGCTTTTTCAATTTGCAGAACCAAAACAGTAATTGTTTTTTTTTCCCCAGGTGTGTTTGCTATTCTTTTGTACAGTTTTAGATAAATGTCAAAAATATTCTCTAAGCCAGTGGTTTTCAACCTTCCTGATGCTGTGACCCCTTAGAACAGTTCTTCATGTTGTGATGACCCCAACCATTAAATTATTTATGTTGCTACTTCATAACTATAATTTTGCTACTATTATGAATCATAATATAAATATCTGTTTTCTGGTGGCCTTGGGTGACCTCTGTGAAAGGGTTGTTTGACCCCCAAAGGGCCTGCAACCCACAGCTTGAGAGCCACTCCTCTAGACCATTATACAAAACCGCAACCAACAAAATTGAGAGTGGTGGAATCCAGTCTCAACCAATACAGCTATAATAAAACTCCTCTGCCTAAGGCTCAGGGATCATTGCTGAAGATGGAGACAGAAAGATTGTAAGAGCCAGAGGTTGGAAAAAAGCTTACTGTGAAGTTGTATCTCCTAGAAATGTCAGAAGGTGAGCCCATGATCAACTTTTAAGAAATGGTCTCTCCGGGCAATGGTGGCACATGCCTTTAATCCCAGCACTTGGGAGGCAGAGGCAGGTGGATCTCTGAGGTTGAGCCTCAGAGCAAGTTCTATAGAGCATGTTC